GACCATTTCAACTTTGTACAGAGATAATTAGGATATCTCAAGCTCTCATTAAGATTTGCCTTTGTAACATGAGCAATATCATCCATCCTAGCCATCAAATGCAGCTGATATTTGAGCATTGCTTGATGTCTCAGATTATCAATCAGCTGKCCCTGGTTGGATACCATCTGCACTACCTGAACAAACTCTGCGTGGGTCATCTCCCTATCAGCTTCACTTGGTTTACCAGTGCCTCTCATCTCAGCCTTCTTTGCTGCAGCAATCAGTGTATTGACTAGACGAGACTTAGTAGGATTCCCCACTTCATTAACCTCATCCCAAGCAGACTGYGTCAACATGAAATGAGACAGTGCCTTCTTCCAGTAGGACATTGAATTAGCCCTAGCATCTTTAGGACAGTCTGCATTACAAGGCTGAGCTTTTCCATAGGCTTTCACACAGAACCATCTGTARATATCCTTTGGCCTAATCGACGCCTTCTGTTCATCAGTGAATACATGATCATGATCATACACACAATCATCCTTGAATTCCATGAATTTGCAAAAGCAATTGTAGTAGGTGCCAATTGCTTTGGGGGCATTGACACCTAAGTCTGAATCTGGAATGATCCTCTTCTTTCCTCTTCCTGGTGGCGTTGCTGGTGGGGGCGTTGCTGTTGTTGCTGGCGTTGCTGCTGGGATTGTTGCTGGTGGTGGCGTTGCTGTTGTTGTTGCTGTTGGAATCATCATCTGATGGCATGTATAAGTCTGGATCAACTCTCATTAACTCTGCCAGCTCCACTAGTGCTTGTCCTCCATCATCACTGCTGCTCCTGCTTGCCGCGTTGCTCGTATCAGCGTTGCTCGTATCAGCGTTGCTCATATCTCCACCGTTGCTGCCACTGCTTGCCGCGTTGATCGTATCAGCGTTGCTGGTGGCATTGCTGCTCGACTCCTTGATGTAGGAGGACGAGCTGCTTCCTGGTGCTGTGCTTGTTCTTTCTTTGCGAGGCATCGTATCGTATCAACCACGACCACTAGTGTAAACTGAACCAAACAGACTTTCTACTGGGTCCTTTCGAACACTTAAGGGCTTGTTAAATCGACAATGGAGATGGTGGATGCAACAGTGGTGGTAGTCTCACGGTGTAAGGTTGAGTATAAGTGCTTCAAATAGAGGGGAACACCATGGGCAAGTCCCTTGCGCTAGTTTGCACCTCCATACTGAGTATACTGAGTTGCATTGGGTCATTCCCCTTAATCAAGATATGACCGATTTTTGTTGTATTATTGCATTCTGCTGCAGTATTGAACGGTTGAAAATGCAACTAAAAAGCTACTGAATGGTTGGAAGGCAAGAAACAGAAGTACCGTAGCCAGTAGAAAATTACTGTAGAAAAAAAGCAATACGGTCTCAAAAATAGGAGTATGGTTGTGAGTATACGGCTACTTTGGGGTCATAGGGTTATGTAGTAGGAATTTTCGGTGCCTTTGAGGCAATTATGATAATGCAATTTTAGTTGCATTTTACGTATACCGTACGAGTACCCCATTTTTGCAACCGATATTGCAAAACGGTCGAAGGAGTCTATCGGTACTTAAAATACGTACATTTCTACGTAGGCTATAATACCCCAACTGATCCCACTCTATTTACCACCGTACTTACATGTTCTACATAAATTCTGGTAGGAATTCTACTGTGCAACMGTATTGGCGATTTTGTTTTGGTCGCATCTGTACCTCTTTTGGTTGCTTAAGACAGAGCAAATTACACTGAGWATGCAACCATTTTGCAACTCCTTTCCCTCGTCACGAGAGGTGCATTTTCAACGTCACGAGAGGTGCAATTTTTGCTCACAAATCAGCAGTCCTTGCATGATACTACAAGTACCGGTTCAAGCAAAACCCCAAGCAACAAGAACAAGCAAGCAAATAGAAGTACTCCTGGTGTGAGTATCAAAAAACAGCAGCGAGCACTCACACTAAGTATCGAAAAACAGCAGCAGCGAGCACCACAGCAGCAGTCACAAGTATCGAAAAACAGCAGCAAGAAGCAATCGTCGACCGTATCGTCGACTGTTGACTCGTCACAAGAGGTGCATTTCTTTGCTCACAAAATCATACAAACAGCAACGCTCGCATACTACAAGGAGTGGTTCAAGCAAAACCCCAAGCAAGAAGCAAGCAAGTACTACTAGTACTACTAGGAGTAACTATTGAAAAACAGCAGCAGCAAGCAAGAAATGGTAACAGCACAAGCGCAAGAACGCACTGGTCGGCGCCCCCGGGCTTGGAAAAGAAGGGGGGGAACTGTAACGCCTCCACGTGATGTGAACCAGCCGGGGCAATGGGGAAGATACCATAAGGTTCTGCTTGAGTTAATGGATCATGTACATGGAAGAGTGGATGAAGGAGGAGACAACGACCATCGATTTCCAAACGATACCCTATTCACTGACGAGCAGCTAAGTCTTCTAACGCCGGCTCATATCTACAAGTTCTTTGCAAAGAAAGTGTTTGGTAGGGAGGATCCTGGTGTTGATGATAATCCTACTGAAGGGAGATCTTCATCCCTTGTTTACTACAAGAAGGCGTTATCCTATTTCATGCCAAATAAGCTGGCTTCCTGCTCCACCACCATCTTTGCACCACTTCTCAAGATACAAGGCAAGCCCCAGTACAACGCAAGCCCGATGATCCATGGAACCAAGCAAGATTTGTTTTGGGCAATTGCTTTCCTCCCTTACATTCTTTGACCACTTCATCTTTGCTGTAAGGAATTTAGGAAACTCAGCAGATCTTTCCAAGCTGTCCTTTCCGACATGTGCCGTATCATCATTACGACCAATCAGATGCAACTGGAACTTAATCATTGCAAGATATCGAAGTCTTTTAATTAAATGTCCATGGTTTCCCATTAGTTCAAGCGTTTGCAAGTACTCATCCTTTGTAAGAGGTCAATCCATGCTGCTGGCTTGTCCAAGTCCTCGTGTTTCCTTCTTAATTACAGCAGATATCAAATCATTCACTTGCTGGGACTTAGTAGGATTTCCACTGCCAATGCCAGCAATAACAGTCCATTTGTGCAGCTTGTTTGGCATGAAATACGATAAGGCTTTCTTGTAATAAACAAGAGAGGAACTCCTTCCTTCAGTAGGATTATCATCCACACCGGGATCCTTGCGACCAAAAGCTTTCTTTGCAAAGAACTTGTAAATATGATCCGGTGTTAGAATACTCAACTGCTCATCCGTGAATATAGTATCATTTGGAAATCGATTATCCCCATTGTCTCCTCCTTCATCCACTCTTCCATGTACATGGTCCATTAGCTCCAATAGAATCGTATTATATCTTTTCCATTGCCCTGGCTGGTTCACGTCTCTTGGAGGAGTTACCGCCCCCCCCCCTGCGTTTACGGGGACCACGACGCCTGTTGCGTTCTTCCCCTCCTTGCTGTGGTGCTGTTGCCATTTGCTCTTAGTTAGTAGTATGCTGGTGTTTTTCAATCGATAGTTTGGGGTTTTGCTTGAACCGGTACTCGTATGTGTATGCGATACTCGATACTCGTATGCGATACTCGTAGCTGTTATTTTGTGAGCAAAAATTGCACCTCTCGTGAGCCTGAGCAAAGAAAAATGCACCTCTCGTGAGTCAACGCTGCTGTTTTTCGATATTTGATACTTACAGTATTTGCTTGTTCTTGCAGTATTTGTTGCTTGTTGATTGGGGTTTTGCTTGAACCAGTCGTATAAAATTGTGAGCAAAAAATTGTGAGCAAAAAAATGCACCTCTCGTGACGAGGCAAAGGAGGAGGAGTTGCAAAATTGTTGCATACTCAGTGTATTTTGCTCTGTTTTCGGCAACCAAAAGAGGTGCAGATGTGACCACAGCAGAAAAGCCAATACGGTTGCACAGTAGAATCCCCACCAGAATTCATGTAAGAATTGTAAGTACGGTGGTAAATGGAGTGGGATCAGTTGGGATATTATAGCCTATGTAAAACCCTACGTATTTTAAGTACTGACCGACTCCTTCAACCGTTTTGCAACATCGGTTGCAAAAATTGGATACTGGACGAGTACCCCATTTTTGCAACCAATATTGCAAAACGTTCAAAATTGGTGCGTAGGCTATAGTAYGCTYACTRGACCCACTCTATTTACCACCGTACTCACATGTTCTACATATTTTGTGGTAGGGATTCTACTGTGCAACCGTATTAGCTCTTCTGTTTTGGTTGCATCCGTACCTATTTTGGTTGCGAAATAGAGTCAAATTTGTATGGAAAATGCAACCGTTTTGCAACTCCCACTCAAATATTCACTCCCAGAGACTCAGATTTTTCTTTGCACTATTCTTCAGTTCCTCTTTGCTCACAAAATGAAGCTCCTAATAAGCAAATCAGCAACTGATACGAGCCGCTGATACGGAGGATGCTGATAGGAACGCTGATATGGAGATGCTGATACGGATGAGGATGCTGATATGAGCCGCTGATACAAGCTGCTGATACGGAAGCTCACTGATACGGAAGCTCACTCCTGATACGGTGTACGCTGATACGGTGTACGCTGATACGGTGTCCGCTGATACGGTGTCCGCTGATACGGTGTCCGCTGATACGGTGTCCGCTGATACGGTGTCCGCTGATACGGTGTC